CGGCGGATGGGTGCTCATGTTTCTGTCCGTCAGTCTGAGCACACGCATCATCTACACACTGGGTAACACACACACACACACACTCACACTCACACTCACACAGACACACACACATAATGGAAGCGACACGGTTTTTCCAGGCACGCCGATGCCGCGGCGAGATGAGAACATCTGGACTTTTCAAGCGCACCGCAGGTCATGAGACAAAGACCAACCGATCAGCTTCGGCATTTCCGTAACATCATGGGAAGCTCGGCCGAACGGCTGGTTATAGCTGTTCACTGCGGGGTTTTATTTCTCATCTCCATAAATATATCTAGTAGGAATGCTAATGCAAGGGCTAGAAATCATTAATCCTTTGCTGATACTTCCTCGTCATCATGGAGAGCGCAGTTCATGGTTGCATAGCAGCGACAGACGCCAGGGGAGCGCGTGTGGAAAGGAGACCGCGGCGCGATGTGTGAACGCCCCTTTACAGAGTTGGCAAATTATGATATTTTTATCATCCTTGATGAAATACTTCCACACATCTGATGTGTGGTTTCTGTTGGTGACGTTTGCCATTTTTAATTAATTTATGGTTAATGGGCGCGAGTAGTCGATTGTTTCCGACAGCGCCGACTAGTGGTTGAAGTAGTCGATCTCTCGAGTCTCGACTAGTCTATGCAAGCCCTAACACACACATACTCACACATACACACACACACTTACACACACTCAGGCCCCATCCACACTACTGCGATTTAGTTTAGAAACGGATAATTAAAACGAATACGATCTCCGTCCACACCTCTTGATATCATCTACACATTTCAATAACACATCAAATAAATGAAACAGTGGTGTCAAGCCTTACTGGAAGGTAAAACTGAGAATCGTCTGCATAACAGTGATATGAAATGTTGTACTTCTGAAAAATGAAGGCCAAGGGAGCATTTAAAGGGAAAACAATAAAGGTCCCAAAACGGAGCCCTGGGGCACACCAAACAAAACAGGCGCAGATAATGAGGAAAAATTTCCTAAATTTACAGAAAAAGTCCTGCCGACTCAGTGCTATGTAATGATCTAAAACCAGAGTAATGACTTTATGAACTTCTTTACTTACAAGATTGATAATATCAGGGAGAAACATATGCATATGCAACCGTCTACCACAGTATCGCATCAGGCAGTGCAGTGTAGTCTCCCTGAGGAAAAATTCAATTTATTCACTGCTATAGGAGAGGAAGAATTTTCTAAACTCGTTAAATCATATAAATCAACAACTTGTATGTTAGACCCTATACCGACTAAGCTACTGAAAGAGATGCTTCCAGAGGTCATAGATCCTCTTCTTAATATCATTAATTCGTCTTTGTCTCTAGGATACGTACCAAAAACCTTTAAGCTGGCTATGATTAAACCACTTGTTAAAAAACCGCAACTTGATCATACAAAATTAGTCAATTACAGGCCGATCTCGAATCTGCCTTTTCTGTCAAAGATATTAGAAAAAGCAGTATCCTCACAACTGTGTTCCTTTCTAGAAAGAAATGATATCTGTGAGGATTTCCAGTCCGGATTTAGACCGTACCATAGTACCGAGACAGCTCTCATCAGAGTCACACATGAATTGCTAATCAATCAATCAATCCATCACTTTATTTATAAAGCACAATTAAACACAACTTCCGTTGACCAATGTGCTGTACAGAGTGCAAAAATTTTAAAATAAAAAACCATAGCAAGATAAAAGACAAGGACAAACGGGACAACCGCATCAACATTCATTCTGTATAAGACAGATCAAATAAAAAAGTCTTTAACCTCACTTTAAAAATGGACAGGGTGGGTGCAGTTCTAATTTCAAGAGGGAGATTGTTCCAAAGCGGCACCAACTCTTTGCTGGACTAGAACTGTTCTTTTACCACGTCATACTTACGTCGTTCGCTGGGCTCTCTAGTCAGTGGAAAAACAAACAGGTTCTGAGAAGGTTCGCAAGTTGAACCAACTTTGAACCAGCACCAGTTCCGAACCAGTTCTTTTTTGGTGGAAACGAGGTATAAGAGGCCTAAGTTCGTGGACCTAAGAGCTCTTGCTGGTTGATGGACTGTCAGCAGATCAGAAAGGTAAGACGGAGCTAACCCATTTAATGACTTAAAAACTAATAGCAGAATTTTAAAATTAATTCTGTGACACACCGGCAGCCATTGAAGTGACTGAAGGACAGGAGTTATATGTTATTTGACTCCTGTCTAAACTCTGGCAGCAGCATTCTGGACTATCTGAAGGCGGTTTATGGATGATTGACTGATCCCCAAATAAAGCGAATTGCAATAATCCAGCCTTGTAGTGATAAAACCATGTATAACTTTTTCAAAGTTTGAGAATGAAAGGAAAGACTTAATTTTTTACCAGGGTTCGAAGCTGGTAGAAGCTTGCCTTCACAACTTGATTTACCTGTCTATCAAGCTTTAGGGCACTATCCAATACCACACCCAAGTTTTTAACATATGGCTTAACATAAGGTGCCAGGGCACCAAGATTTACATTTGTTGTGTAATGTACACTAGAAGATGTAAACGCCATAACCTCAGACTTAAAGGGATAGTTCACTTTGAAATTAATTTTTGGTATGTTTTAGCTTACCTCAAGGGCATCCAAGATGTAGGTGTCTTTGTTTCCGCAGAAGTTTAAATTTTGATATTTTTTTGGTCAAACCGTTCTTGTCTGTCAGTCATATAATGCAGGTCTATGGTCTCCACCTCAAAGAGCAGCACAGAGAAGTCCAAATTAAACATGATTTAATGACTCGTAAATGTAAGTACACATTGATGGCCTAAGACACGAAACGAGCGGTTTGTGTGAGAAAACGAACAGTATTTATATCGTTTTTACCTCTTGTAACGCACAGACCGAAGCGCCGGCGACCTCAGATCACTTGGACGTGGCTGTGTTTACAAGAGGTAAAAACGATATAAATACTGTTCGTTTTTTCACACAAACCACTCGTTTCGTGTCTTAGGCCATCAATGTGTACTTACATTTAAAAGTGAACTATCCCTTTAAAAAATTCAGCGACATCCATGCTTTAACATCCTCAAGGCAGGCAGCCATCTGTTATAAACTATTTTTATGTTTAAGAGGAAAATATATTTGTGTGTCGTCTGCATAACAGTGATAACTTAAGTCATATTTTCTAAAAATAGTACCAAGGGAAAGCATGTATAAAGAGAACAACATGGGGGCCAGTGTGGAGCCTTGAGGAACTCCACACATCAGCTTTACGGAGGAAGATCGATAGTCACCCATGTGAACTGAAAAACTCCTGTTTGTCATATAAGACTGAAGCCAATGTAAGACTGGGCCTCTGATGCCCACTATGTGTTCTTAACGAGACAGCAGGACATGGTCTACCGTGTCGAATGCAGCACTTAAGTCCAGAAGTACCAATGCTACTGAGTCTCCAGAGTCGGTGGCTAAAAAATGTCATTGAGCACTTTTACAAGAGCCGTTTCAGTAGAGTGACATTTTCTAAAGTCAGATTGAAATATCAAAAATTCTGTCGTCGACCAAAAATGTTTGAAGCTGACACAGGACTACTTTGTCTAACATTTTTGTTAAGAATGGGAGATTAGAAATAGTTTTAAAATGTAATAAATCGGAGGAATCCAAGTTTGGCCTCTTAAGTCTGGGGTGCACTGATGCATGCTCTTATCATCCGATCGTGGTTGTATCTCTCTATTAGTGTTACTCGATCTTAGTGCTGCATTTGACACCATTGACCACAACATTCTTTTAAATAGACTCGAACATTATGTTGGCATTAGTGGAATTGCATTAGCATGGTTTAAATCACACTTATCTAACCGTTATCAGTTTGTAGCAGTAAATGAAGAGATGTCTTATCGATCACAAGTTCAGTATGGCGTACCACAAGGCTCAGTACTAGGGCCGCTGCTGTTCACTCTGTACATGCCACCCTCACACACACACACACACACACACACACACACTCTGTACATGCTACCCTTAGGACCATACCCCTGTCAAAATATTGAAACACTATAATACTAAATATATGTTGTGTGCGGATGAGCGGCCGGAGCGCATTAAGGGTTTTCTGTTTGAGCGGTGTCGTGTTAGCGGCCCCTAAGTTAACAACTAATGATCTTTACAATGGAAGTGCTGCGTGAGCTGGTGTCACCCACACACTCACACACTCTCTCTCTCTCTCTCAGTGGAGTGTGTTCCTGTGGTGCGTGAGCTGGTGTCGGCGGGGCTGAAGATCTTCTCTCTCTGCGTCTCTTGTTCTCTGTCTCTGCTGACGATCTCGGCCGGCTGGATCTTCTACCGCCCCCTGCTGGGCGTGATGATAGCACTGCTAGCACTCCTGCCGCTAGTCATCGCACGCACACGCGCGACTGCCAAGAAGCACCAGTGACCCGTGTGACGTCCTTCAGCTTCTCCTGTTCTTCCTCAGTGTTTCTGTCTCGTTCTCCAGCACAAACATCTAAACATTCTTACATCAACACACTCTTACATCAACACACATTTACTGGAGAACAAACATTAAGTGAGTTTGTGCCTAAAAAGTCATGTTTCTTCTCCAGTAAATGCATCTTGATTTAAGAATCATTAGATATATGTGATACAGAACCACTGGGGAAGAAGCTCCTGTTCTTCAGTGTGAGCAGGAACTTCATGTACAGTGTGTGTGTGTGTGTGTGTATGTGACTGCAGAAATCCTCACGTGTGTGTTCAAGCTCTTTATGATGTTTATCGGGAACCGTTCGCCGTGTTCCTCAGTGAATGACTGTAAATGTAAAGCAATGCACGAGAAACACCAAGCGTCTTATAAAGGCTTTAATACACAAACATACCAAAGTCTGTTTATTGTGAAAGACAAAAGAGTGATCTTCAAGTCTGTGGGAGTGTGTGTGCAGGGCTGATCCGGATGGGTTGCATATGTGTGTGTGTTTGGGGCTCGCGGCGAGTCTGAAAGCGTTAAATACTGACATGAGCTCTCAGCACTAGAGGAACTGCAGGAGTCGGAGAGTGAGTTCACAGCAGGAGGCACTTGTTGTTCTTCTTGCCCTTGCGCGCCTGCAGCGCCGCCCTGGTGGCCATCTCGAACACCTCACGCACGCCGTCCTTGCTTTTGGCAGAGCACTCCATGTATCCGAAGGCACAGATGCGGTTGGCCATGTCTCGGCCCTCCTCGGGTTTGACCGGCTCCTGCGGGATAGACACAGAGGATTCACAGGATCTGACAAGTTCTCAAGGTTTGTGGATTTAACCCTCATCTTTCCCTCGCGTTCTGTAACACATCTTTCACATCAAATATCTTACATTGGGAGTCTTTGCTGACCTCTTGTGGAAAATAAATAATATAGCATGATATTTCATGACTCTAGATGGCCTTATAGCTCTATATGGAGCAAATGAGCTGATCCGCTGGGTCCTAAAGTCAGTCTCTTCAGAATGCATTCAGACACACATGTAGACATTATACAATAATTTTTTGGTAAATTTTTAGGTTTTTCTATGTGAACTGAAGCTTTCCTCGCATTTCATTCATCCTAAGGGGGTCAAATTGACCCGCGAGAGAAGGATTTGTTACTTTTTTAATTTCAACCACAAAACTCCTCTAAGCCATTCATTTTTTTGGGTGTATTCGTGGTTCCAGTGCGACAAAAGCCCCAGAGTCTTGGTTTTAAATACCGACAGACGCCGGACTCGCCTGAACTTCTCTTGGCGTTTTCCCACCCGTTCAGCATCAATATATCGAACCTGAAGTTTCAATGAACAAATTCAACAGAATTAAAGCAACACTAAGTAAGATTTTTTACCTTAAAATAATGTTTTCAAAATCGTTTCAGTTGTTCATCAAGTCGTGACATGGTGAAATGCACTTATGCCACCGCTTTGCGGTCCTTTATCTGATATATCCACGCTATGTAAGATTGCCAGATCGGGTCGCGTTTCTGTAGTCCGAATGAGACATAAGAAAACTACAAATTTGACTTGCTTTACGGCAAGCGTTACAATTGCCGATAGGTGGAGCGTACTCGACAGTAGACTACAAGTACATGTAAGATTTTGAATTGTCATCATGATTCCAAAGCCGGTGCTGGATAAGCAGAGAGCATGTGCGTGAGCGACAGTAGGATGCGCTAGGCTAAATTATTTACGACAGCAGTAATGGACAATTCCGCTTCCAACCTGTAGAGCGACCGCAGAGGAAAAGTTACTTGGTGTTGCTTTAAGGAAAATGCCAGCAAAACTAGTGTATTTTTTAATTTTTTATGCGCAGAATAAAGGGGCGGGGCCTGGTTGAGTTAGTTAGTAGTGTGTTAAACTGACGGTTATGGAAAGGGGCGGGACATTTCCCAAACACACTCGAAGCGCTCGACCAATCACAACACACTGCTCCAGCCGACCAATCAGAGCACAGTGTGCTTTTCAGAAGGAGGGGCTTCATAGAGACAGGAACTAAACAGAGCGTTACTGACAGACTGGGAAGAGAGGAGCCGCAACAATGGAGAATATGAGGAGAATAATGTGTACTGGTGCTCTTGACGACACGGAGGAGTGAGAAACGCACCTGCTTCATCTTGATGAGCTCGCGGCGCGTGTGCTCGTCGTTCCGCAGGTCCTTCTTGTTGCCCACCAGGATTATGGGAACGTTGGGGCAGAAATGCTTGACCTCGGGCGTCCACTTCTCAGGAATGTTCTCTGAGGGCAAGAAAGGTCAGAGATGAAGCAGCAGGAGAGAGGTGGAGGTGTGTGTGTGATGTAGATGCATGTGTGTGTGTATGTGGATGTAGATGTCTGATATGTATTTGTAATGTGTATGTTTGATGTGTGTTTATGTGTGATGTGTAAGTGTGATGTGTAGATGTGTGTGTGTGATGTGTAAGTGTGATGTGTGAGTGTGATTTGTGAGTGTGTGTGACGAGACTCACCCAGGCTGTCGGGGCTGTCGACGGAGAAGCACATGAGGATGACGTCAGTGTCGGGATAGGAGAGCGGCCGCAGCCGATCATAATCCTCCTGTCCTGCCGTATCCCACAGCGCCAGCTCCACCTGGAACACACACACACGCCATGATACACGCCAGTCACATGACACAAGTGTAGTCACACGGCATGCGAGTCACATGACACACGCTCAGCCACACGCCAGTCACATGACACACGCGCTCAGCCACACGCCAGTCACATGACACACGCGCTCAGACACACGCCAGTCACATGACACGCGCTCAGCCACACACCAGTCACATGACACGCGCTCAGTCACGACACACGCTGTCACATGACACGCGCTCAGTCACGACACACGCTGTCACATGACACGCGCTCAGCCACACGCCAGTCACATGACACGCGCTCAGCCACACGCCAGTCACATGACGCGCTCAGCCACACGCCAGTCACATGACACGCGCTCAGCCACACGCCAGTCACATGACACGCGCTCAGTCACATGACACGCGCTCAGCCACACGCCAGTCACATAACACGCGCTCAGCCACACGCGTCACATGACACGCGCTCAGCCACACGCCAGTCACATAACACGCGCTCAGCCACACGCGTCACATGACACGCGCTCAGCCACACGCGTCACATGACACACGCTCAGCCACACGCCAGTCACATGACACGCGCTCAGCCACACGCCAGTCACATGACACGCGCTCAGCCACACGCACTCAGTCACATGACACGCGCTCAGTCACATGACACGCGCTCAGCCACACGCCAGTCACATGACACGCGCTCAGCCACACGCCAGTCACATGACACGCGCTCAGTCACATGACACGCGCTCAGCCACACGCCAGTCACATGACACGCGCTCAGCCACACGCCAGTCACATGACACGCGCTCAGCCACACGCCAGTCACATGACACGCGCTCAGCCACACGCACTCAGTCACATGACACGCGCTCAGTCACATGACACGCGCTCAGCCACACGCCAGTCACATGACACGCGCTCAGCCACACGCCAGTCACATGACACGCGCTCAGTCACATGACACGCGCTCAGCCACACGCCAGTCACATGACACGCACTCAGTCACGACACGCGCTCAGCCACACGCCAGTCACGACACTCGCTCAGCCACACGGCAGTCACATGACACGCACTCAGTCACACACCAGTCACATGACACGCACTCAGTCACGACACACGCTGTCACATGACACGCGCTCAGCCACACACCAGTCACATGACACGCGCTCAGCCACACGCCAGTCACATGACACGCGCTCAGTCACGACACACGCTGTCACATGACACGCGCTCAGCCACACGCCAGTCACATGACACGCGCTCAGCCACACGGTAGTCACATGACACGCGCTCAGCCACACACCAGTCACATGACACACGCCAGTCACATGACACGCCCTCAGCCACACGGCAGTCACATGACACGCGCTCAGCCAAACGCCAGTCACATGACACGCACTCAGCCACACACCAGTCACATGACACGCACTCAGTCACGACACACGCTGTCACATGACACGCGCTCAGCCACACGGCAGTCACATGACACGCGCTCAGCCACACGGCAGTCACATGACACGCACTCAGTCACACACCAGTCACATGACACGCACTCAGTCACGACACACGCTGTCACATGACACGCGCTCAGCCACACACCAGTCACATGACACGCGCTCAGTCACGACACACGCTGTCACATGACACGCGCTCAGCCACACGCCAGTCACATGACACTCGCTCAGCCACACGCCAGTCACATGACACGCACTCAGTCACACACCAGTCACATGACACGCGCTCAGTCACGACACACGCTGTCACATGACACGCGCTCAGCCACACACCAGTCACATGACACGCGCTCAGCCACACGCCAGTCACATGACACGCGCTCAGCCACACGCCAGTCACATGACACGCACTCAGTCACACACCAGTCACATGACACGCACTCAGTCACGACACACGCTGTCACATGACACGCGCTCAGCCACACGGCAGTCACATGACACTCGCTCAGCCACACGGCAGTCACATGACACGCACTCAGCCACACGGCAGTCACATGACACGCGCTCAGCCACACACCAGTCACATGACACGCGCTCAGTCACGACACACGCTGTCACATGACACGCGCTCAGCCACACGCCAGTCACATGACACTCGCTCAGCCACACGGCAGTCACATGACACGCACTCAGTCACACACCAGTCACATGACACGCGCTCAGTCACGACACACGCTGTCACATGACACGCGCTCAGCCACACACCAGTCACATGACACGCGCTCAGCCACACGCCAGTCACATGACACGCGCTCAGCCACACGCCAGTCACATGACACGCGCTCAGCCACACGGCAGTCACATGACACGCGCTCAGCCACACGGCAGTCACATGACACGCGCTCAGCCACACGGCAGTCACATGACACTCGCTCAGCCACACGGCAGTCACATGACACTCGCTCAGCCACACGGCAGTCACATGACACGCGCTCAGCCACACGGCAGTCACATGACACGCGCTCAGCCACACGGCAGTCACATGACACGCGCTCAGCCACACACCAGTCACATGACACGCGCTCAGCCACACGCCAGTCACATGACACTCGCTCAGCCACACGGCAGTCACATGACACGCACTCAGTCACACACCAGTCACATGACACGCGCTCAGTCACGACACACGCTGTCACATGACACGCGCTCAGCCACACACCAGTCACATGACACGCGCTCAGCCACACGCCAGTCACATGACACGCGCTCAGCCACACGCCAGTCACATGACACGAGCTCAGCCACACGCCAGTCACATGACACGCGCTCAGCCACGCGCTCAGTCACATGACACGCGCTCAGCCACACGCCAGTCACATGACACGCGCTCAGCCACACGCCAGTCACATGACACGCGCTCAGCCACACGCCAGTCACATGACACTCGCTCAGCCACACGGCAGTCACATGACACGCGCTCAGTCACGACAAACGCTGTCACATGACACGCGCTCAGCCACACGCCAGTCACATGACACGCGCTCAGCCACGCGCTCAGTCACATGACACTCGCTCAGCCACACGCCAGTCACATGACACTCGCTCAGCCACACGCCAGTCACATGACACGCGCTCAGCCACACGCCAGTCACATGACACGCGCTCAGCCACACGCCAGTCACATGACACGCGCTCAGCCACACGCCAGTCACATGACACGCACTCAGTCACACACCAGTCACATGACACGCGCTCAGCCACACGCCAGTCACATGACACTCGCTCAGCCACACGCCAGTCACATGACACGCGCTCAGCCACACGCCAGTCACATGACACGCGCTCAGCCACACGCCAGTCACATGACACGCACTCAGTCACACACCAGTCACATGACACGCGCTCAGCCACACGCCAGTCACATGACACGCACTCAGTCACACACCAGTCACATGACACGCGCTCAGCCACACGCCAGTCACATGACACGCACTCAGTCACACGCCAGTCACATGACACGCGCTCAGCCACACGCCAGTCACATGACACGCGCTCAGCCACACGCCAGTCACATGACACGCACTCAGTCACACACCAGTCACATGACACGCGCTCAGCCACACGCCAGTCACATGACACTCGCTCAGCCACACGGCAGTCACATGACACGCACTCAGTCACACACCAGTCACATGACACGCGCTCAGTCACGACACACGCTGTCACATGACACGCGCTCAGCCACACGCCAGTCACATGACACGCGCTCAGCCACACGCCAGTCACATGACACGCGCTCAGCCACACGCCAGTCACATGACACGCGCTCAGCCACGCGCTCAGTCACATGACACGCGCTCAGCCACACGCCAGTCACATGACACGCGCTCAGCCACACGCCAGTCACATGACACTCGCTCAGCCACACGGCAGTCACATGACACGCGCTCAGTCACGACAAACGCTGTCACATGACACGCGCTCAGCCACACGCCAGTCACATGACACGCGCTCAGCCACACGCCAGTCACATGACACGCGCTCAGCCACACGCCAGTCACATGACACGCACTCAGTCACACACCAGTCACATGACACGCGCTCAGCCACACGCCAGTCACATGACACGCGCTCAGCCACACGCCAGTCACATGACACGCGCTCAGTCACGACAAACGCTGCACATGACACGCGCTCAGCCACACGCGTCACATGACACGCGCTCAGCCACACGCCAGTCACATGACACGCGCTCAGCCACACGCCAGTCACATGACACGCGCTCAGCCACACGCCAGTCACATGACACGCGCTCAGCCACACGCCAGTCACATGACACTCGCTCAGCCACACGGCAGTCACATGACACGCGCTCAGCCACACGGCAGTCACATGACACGCGCTCAGCCACACGGCAGTCACATGACACGCGCTCAGCCACACGGTAGTCACATGACACGCGCTCAGCCACACGGCAGTCACATGACACTCGCTCAGCCACACGGCAGTCACATGACACGCACTCAGCCACACGGCAGTCACATGACACGCGCTCAGCCACACGGCAGTCACATGACACGCGCTCAGCCACACGGCAGTCACATGACACTCGCTCAGCCACACGGCAGTCACATGACACTCGCTCAGCCACACGGCAGTCACATGACACTCGCTCAGCCACACGACACACCCTCAGCCACACGGCAGTCACATGACACACCCTCAGCCACATGACGCACACCTGCGCTGCTCACCTGCTTGCTGTCCACCTCGATGTCGGCCACGTAGTTCTCGAAGACGGTGGGCACGTAGACCTCGGGGAACTGGTCTTTACTGAAGACGATGAGGAGGCAGGTCTTCCCGCACGCGCCGTCCCCGACGATCACCAGCTTCTTACGGATCGCCGCCATCTCTGATAACACAAGCGCAGATTAATATCATACGTTCATGTTTCCCTGCGAACCGAACCCACGACCTTGGTGTTGTTAATGCCTTAATCTACATTTTGAGCTACAGAAATGCCTTTTATTATATTTCATGTTAACTATATATTTATTTATATTTAATTTCTTCAATAGTAAATTAATTCAACAATATATACATGCACATATATATTAACAATATAACTATATTTTTATTTATATTCTAACCAAACAGAATGCAGCCAATTATATCAATTTAATATTTTTGCATCTTGACTTTATTCATGACAATTAACCAGATTTCCTGATCAAATATGACGTACATTACAATAAAATAATAAATCAAGTGCAAAAATGGCACGCAAATTAAAGTCACACAATAGTCAACAGGCAATTTTTTTACCATGTGAAATATTATTGTTATCATTGAGTAAATGAAATACGCTGCTGCTCGTTAGATTTCATGAGATTCACCCGTTAAATGCTGACATATTAAAAATACTGTCATGGAAAAACTAAAAATGAATGAAAACAGCACGGTTAATTCAGTAAGAGTTTCATACGCAGTTGTTTTTAAATGTGGTTATATCTGACCAGTTTTGAGCACTTTCTTTTCAGGAATATTAAATGCAGATTCTTACAGCATAAGGGTAAATAATCTTATTATTATGTCACTCACATGGATTCGTTTCTCATTTACATAAACGTTTTTTGTTTTAAAAGTTTGTATTTATTTTCAATGTGCCAAACTGTCGCTGCGAAGCTAACAGCTACACCACCGGAAGTGATCGACTCATCTCAGTAAAGTCATCATTCAAACCATCGAACATCAAGGACCCGACCGACTCTCTCGGGCAGGTGAGGTTTAATAAGAGTCTTTATCTTTTTTAAAGCTTACAAAGCGTGGGGGAAATCTAATTAAACTCGGTCTCACCGTCAGTTTAACTCGGCTCGAGTTTTCCGGGTCGGTTCAGTGCGCGCGCCTGAAGCCAGACACAACCAGACAAGATGACGGTTGAACAATCTACCCGTCAAACTAAGAGTCGCCAACAGACGCGTCGAAATAAGAGTCCTCACAGTTCACTTCCCAACAGTTCGTTTATTAAGTGCATAGAGTTTTCACATTCAAACACAGACAATAGTAACGTCTGAAGAATGACAGACAGGCTTTGTTTCTTAACTTTTACTCCGAACGCAGAACAGAACAGAAGCGCTGCTTACTCACTCCCCCGCGTTAACCCTATAACTGCCGCTGCAAAAATAAAACCGCAATTTCAAGTAATTCCCAATTATCAAGAGTCTGTGCGCCACACTATCATAGAGTTTGTAAGCCAGCACTATTAGCTTAACTAAGTTCATCTTTTGACATTTGACTGCTTGCCGTGCCGTCCTCTGCTTGGTTAACCAAACTACCCGTCAAATAAAGAGTCCTCAACAGACGCGTGAAAATAAGAGTCCTCACAGTTCACCTTCCAACAATTCGTTTATTAAGTGCATAGAGTTTTCACATTCAAACACAGAGACAATATAACAAGTCAAGTCACCTTCAGCGCTTTTAACAATATTGTTTCAAAGCAGCTTTACAGTGATAGGAAATTAAAGTAACAGAGATTGTTTAGGCTTTACAGCAGCTCTAGAATAAAGTTATTGTCCAGCTAAAGTTAGTTTTTGATTAGTTATTAACTTAGGGGCCGCTAACATGACACCGTTCTAACAGAAAACAGAAAACTTTTAATGTGTTCTGGCCGTTCATTTGCACAACAACAGTGTTTGGAGGCTTGAGAATGCAAACTTTGAAACAGGTTCCAAGATGCAGGTTTAGAATTTTTTTTAAAAACAAAACGTGACTCCATGAAAACGCTGACGGCGTGCACATGCATCTGTGTTTAGTCTATAGGTATGCGCGTTTGAAAATATATGTGCGTAGTCTTTCCTTACAAACATAGAGTTTTAAGCACTATTAGCTTAACTAGGACTCAGAGTTTTTGACGTCTGACTGCTTGCTGTCATCCGCCGGGTCCGCGCTCGCACACACCATCCTCGCTTTGACCTTCTTGTTGGAGGAGATGATGAGGAACGGGCTGAGCGAGGCGTAGCATGAGGAGAAGAACACCCTCATGTCGGCCACCACCGCCGGCACCTGCGCCACTGTTAGCATGTAGATCCAGATGACGTTATCGATGCCGAAGAACACCGCGTACAGAACCACTAGCATCAACACAGTCTTAGCGGCGCGTGTCTCTTTGCCCTGCGAGCGCCGGATGCCCTTCTGCTTCCGGCCGTGGCGGTACAGGAGCACCAGGAGGAACCCGCTGGAGCCTAGCATCACGCCCACGAACGCGAAGTCGCGCACCGACACGGCCACCCCGTTCGTCACGTATGACAGGTTATCACGGAAGTCCACGTGGCAGAAGCCCAGGTTGAGGGTGAACGGCGGGACGGTGCCGTTGCGCGGGGCTACGGAAAAGAAGGGTGCGGCGATGCAGACGGCCATGTTGAGGAGCCAGAGCGCGGCGAAGCCGGGGAGGATTAGCCGCGGGATTCGAGGCTTGAGGCGGGAGAGCAGCGGGCCGGCCGCGGGGGCGACACTAACTGCCTGGAACACGCTCAGCATGCAGGTCAGGCACACGGACAGCGCGCGCGACACGCGGTACAGGTATATGACCGCCTTGCAGCCGGCGTCGGTTAGCAGGTTCTTCACGCCGAACACGCTCAGGGTCTGCGGGACGCCGCGGGTTAGCAGCAGAAGCAGGTCCGCGAACGCCAGGTGGCACAGGATAGCGTCCGCAGGTGTTAGCCGAGACTCGCGCAGAAGCATGTGTGCGTACGCTAGCAGCACCAGCGTGTTCGCTAGGATCCCCAGACCCGTCTGCAGCAGGAACGACACACCTTTGATGGTCACGCACAGGTCCATGGAGCCGCTTAGAGACCGTCTGAGTCGCGGCTCGATATAAAGCCCAATATAAAGCCTCGTCTACCCCCGCGGGAGCGACTCAAACCCACGGCAGAGAAGAGAGAGCGCTGGAAGTGGAGAAGAGGGGAGAAGTGTCCAGCTGGGGCACGTCCTAATGACTCCAGGGGCCGGTTGCATAAACAGCCATTATGTTAAGACAGTGTCTTAAGTTCTAGTATGACCCACTAGCAGTTAGTCAGGGCCAGTCAGTCTTAGTTTTCGGTAACAAATTAGGCTAATCTATGTTTTTATGTAACTTATTTAAAAAAGCTACGAAGTGTCTTATAGAAAAAACTTGTAAGACTATTCTTCGAGGTTAAGACAAGCGGCCGCAGGGATCAGGAGACGGCCCGGATCAATGCTGCTCCTTTCCTCAGTTTGCTTTCTTCACCTTAAGATATAATCCCTTTTAAATTAATGTCACATTTAGCTAATCGTTTTGTTGTTTTTGACCCGTTTAACCTTGTATTCGAATAAATAAGGTTATTATGACACCAACAATTTACTTACCAGTGAAAGTTCACGTTTTGATAAGGAGCCTAACTAATGTAAAGTTCAAACAGTAATAAAATAAGAACAAATAAACAGATTTTGTTTCAATGCTGCCGATTGTACAGCACTTTGGTCTGCAAGTGCAGTTGTAAAGTGCAAATAAAATGAATAAATAATAAAGATTGCGTTAGATATTTTGGTAACACTTTATTTTACAGTGTCCTTGTTACATATGTTACATATATTTACTATAGTAATAAGAGTAAATTATGCATAATTACATGCAACTAACCCTCAACCTATCCTAACCCTATAGTAAGCACATGTAGTTAATTAATAATACTCAGTACTTATATACATTTTTGCTGAATTGTTTTTCACGAATGAAGATTCGGTTACACTTTATTTTCAGGTGTCATTGTTACAGTGTAAGTATTATTTATTAACTACATGTACTTACTATAGGGTTAGGATAGGTTGAGGGTTAGTTGCATGTAATTATGCATAATTTACTCATATTTACTATAGTAATAAATGTAACATATGTAACAAGGACACTGTAAAATAAAGTGTGACCAAAGATTCTCCATGTCATTCTTTGTGTACTTCATTTGTCTGTGTTTCTCATTTAGTTAACGATCAATCTATTTCCATGTTTAACGGCCTGACAGTGTGTGTTGTTTGTGAGGAACGAAGTGTGTGTGTTGTTTGTCCTGTAATTGAGAGTCCTCAGGAGATAATTAGACATCATTAAGCTAATGAGGAGCTGTGGGACGAGCAGGTCTGGACTGGTCTGTTTTCTTCCCATCATTCCCTCGGGAGAGCTGTGTTTACGCCTGAACGCAGCCCGACACGCTACACACACGCTACACGCGTGTTTAACATCATTACCCCGAGGACTGATCACTCCCGTCGCACACACACCCTGTTCGTTAAACCCGTCGCACACACACCCTGTTCGTTAAACCCGTCGCACACACACCCTGTTCGTTAAGGGTTATTAGCATGTAACAGATGCCCTTGTTTCTGGATGGCTTAGTTAATATGTAGTAATATTATAGATCTGGCACACAGGCCTTTGATTTGATTAGCAGCTTCGTCTGGTTTTACATTTGCTGTCAAGGTTATGAACAAACGTTCTTCTCGTAATGTTAATACGACGTTCATTCAAAGTTATCTGGTCTTTAATACTGTTCTCACACAAAAACATTATTTATACATCAGCTGCAGAGCTATTTGAATGACAGTAATGTTTTTGATGTTTTCCAATCAGGTTTCTCTAGAGAGACGGCACTTGTAAGAGTTTCACTGACTCGGGTGACTCTGTTGTTCTGGCGCGTTTAGCTTTCAGTGCTGCACTCGAGACTGTTGACCATGATGTCCTGCTGTCTCGTCTAGAGTTGTTGGCATCAGAGGAACTATTCTAAGCTGGTTTCAGTCATACCTTAAAAGCTTCTCGATGAATGCAGGAGTTTGTCCTTCGGGTGTGGTCGCCCTGATGTGTGGGGTCCCCCAAGGCTCTATTGTGGGCCCTTTATTGTTTTCACTCTATATGCTTAATTTAGGCTCTATTTTTGAAAAGCATGGCTTGTATTATCATTGCTATGCAGATGATACAAAACTTTATTTGCCCCTGAAGCACAAAAATGTCTTGGACTCGATCAGTGCCTGTCTTTCCGATGTCAAAGACTGGAGGTCGTTAAATTTTTTAAATCTGAATGAGAGTAAATCAGAGATAATTTTGTTTGGCCCAAACATTTCTCATTTAAATTCTGGTGTCTTATCTTCAGTTAAATTCTGTGTAAAAAAAAGTATTTGATAGTGCACTTAAATTTGATAAGTAAATCAATTTAGTGGTCAAATCAAGTTTTTACCAACTAAGAACGCTGGCTAAAGTGAAGAGTTTCTTTCTTTTAAGCACTTTGAAACTGCGATTGATGCTTTTATTTCTTCTAGAATTGAATATTGTAACTCCCTGTTTTTGGGAATAAACAATTCTTCCTTAGTTATATTACAAATGGTCCAGAACGCGGCTGCAAGCCTCTTAAGCGGTGTTCGCAAACGCAAATATATTACTCCTGTTTTAATGCCTTCACATTGGCTCCCAGTCCGCTCTAGAATAGACTTTAAAGTGCTTCTGCTCGTTTTGAAATGTTTACATGTCCTCGCCCCTCTTGCCGTTCAGACTGGTGTATCACCATCCATGAGAACTCTTCGGTCTGCCAGCCAGAGTTTGTTAACTGTTCCAAAGACAAAGTTAAAATCTATAGCGGTGACCGAGCTTTTTCCAGAGCCGCACATAAACTTTGGAACAGTTTACCGATTCATATTAGAACTGCACCAACATTACATATTTTTAAATTTAAATTAAAAATGTATCTCTTCACTGTAGTCTATAACTGTAGTCTCTTGTTGTCTGTTGATGTTTTATTTTATTTTAATTAATTGTTTTTGGTTTAAGAACATTATACAGCGCATTGGTCAATTTAATTGTGCTTTATAGATAAATTGAGATTGGATACATCATTCATGGAGTGTTACTTTTCAGAAATGTTTTAGCTGGATGTTTGTCTAATGTTTTTTATAATGTTACTCGTTTCAGAACATTCAAAAGTAAGGTTCCATAATGTTTGAAGAATGATACAATGGAACATTCCCTTAAAGGTGCAGTGTGTAAGTTTAGCAGCATCTAGTGGTGAGGTTGTGAATCGCACCCAACAGAAGTTACGGTGGCCAACAGGAAGTGATGTCGTCGTCTGAGACAGCAGAGAGGAGCCAGTTAAGCAATGAGGTTTCTTTACAAAGATAAATCAAGAAATTATGTTAACTTAATTATTCAGGAAAACGATGTTATTGTGAATATTATTGTGACTTATTCATCATTGTGTCAGTGTTTTACTCGCTGACTTTAGCAGCTTCTTTACACGAAGAACAACATAGTGACGAAACGGGTTTGTCCGTTCAGGGCCACCGTAGAAACATGTGGATGTAAGCGGACCCGCGGTGTGTGTAGAAACATGTGGATGTAAGCGGACCCGCGGTGTGTGTAGAAACATGTGGATGTAAGCGGACCCGCGGTGTGTGTAGAAACATGTGGATGTAAGCGGACCCGCGGTGTGTGTAGAAACATGTGGATGTAAGCGGACCCGCGGTGTGTGTAGAGAGAAACGCCTCATTATAAGCTAATAAACACATAACGGTTCATTATGTTCTTTATACACCACTGAACACATAGTTATGTATATTATATTGCATTTCTGTCAACAGATCCTCCTAAATATCACACAATGCACCTTTAATGTTCACATAACCAAGAAGAAACATTTAAACCCTGAAAGGTTCAGAAAGCAGGTGTTCATGGCTTAATGTGCGCTGGAGCTGCTGTAATAGTGTGGCGTTGCTGCACTCGTCAGTGACAGACTCGCTCAGCTGCACATCATTGGTGTAATTGAGCTGAGACTGAAGGCACTGGACCGTCCCGAACATCAGCGTCCCACGGCTCCGACCCCACTATAAACCAGAACAGGTCTCTGCAGCGTTCAGAAGAGTGTGTGTGTGTGTGTGTGTGTGTGAGATGGACGCGAGCGCTCTGACGCGAGGCCTGCTCTTCCTCTCTCTCGCGGCGACCGGAGTCCCAGGGAACATCGCTGTGATCTTCGCCTTCCTCTCGCTGGCGTATCAGGAGCGTCTCTCGCCGGCCGACGCCATCGTGCTGCACCTAGCGATTGTTAACCTGGCTAACCTGTCGGTGCGCTGCGTGCTGGAGGTGCTAGCCTCCTTCTCCGTGTACGTGTTCGACGACAGCGGCTGCAAGGCCGTGATCTTCCTCTACCGCACCTCCAGGTCTCTGTCCATCTGGCTGACCTTCGTGCTGAGCGCGTACCAGTGCCTGAGCGTGTCTCCGCCGGGGTCGCGCCGCGCTAGCGCTCGCGCTGTGCTGGGCCGCTCGCTGTGTGTGGTGTTCCTGGCGCTGTGGCTAATCAACGGCTCGATGAGCGCGGCTCCGCTGCTGTTCGCTGTTGCGGCGCGGAACGACTCCAAGCTCTCGCAGAACGCCATCAACGTGGAGTTCTGCTTCCTGAACTTCCCATCGAGGCTAGCACGGGACGCTAACGGCGCAGCACAGGTGGGGAGAGACGTGGTGCCGATGGCGCTGATGGCGGTTGCTAGCGTTATGCTCCTAGCGTTCCTGCGGCGCCGGCGGGCCACGGCTCGTAGCGGGTCGTTAGCGGAGCGGCGCGCGGCTCTCGGCGTGATCACGCTAGTCTCGCTGTACCTGCTCTTCTACGGCGTGGACAACGGCCTCTGGGTTTATACGCTCAGCGTGCCTCAGACGCTCGGCTCCTCGCTAATCTCCGACCTCAGGATCTTCTTCTCCTCGCTCTACGCCGCTGTCAGTCCCGTTGTCATCATCGTCTCCAACACGAGAGTTAGCCGGAGAGCCGGAGACGCTCTGAGACGCTGCTAACGTCACGGGCACATCGACCACAGGACATGATGCACGAAACCACTCGTGGGAACGTTTACGGGCTCAATGTGTGTCAGCGCTCTTTGAGGAGTTTCTCTGTCGCTTTGGTGCATTTCTCAGATCACAGCTGTGATTCTCAAAACTACCTGTTCAACATCATGATAACTACTTCCCAGCAAGAAATTTTGCGTTTTAAAGACGTCTAATAGCGCGCAAACACAGCCCAGACGTCTAGGCTAAACCAGGCTGAATCTGGGCTGTCAGTGAGAATGTAATAGACGTCTAAACCATCGCTGAAGAATAGACTAGTCATCATTAGATAACAAAGAAATGAAACGAGTGAAGAAATGAAACCAAACGTCTTGTAATCACTGTTGACTTTGCGTACATGATGAAACATCTCGCAAGTTATTTACATAAACGACATGTAACCACATTCAAGGTTAATTTGGCCAGAAGTGTGTCACTCATAGCCGGACTATATCGGGTCTATAGTTAATCTACTCATAGCCGGACTATATCGGGTCTATAGTTAATCTACTCATAGCCGGACTATATCGGGTCTATAGTTAACCTAGACGGAGAAATGATGGCTATTGCTAGACAGCGACTGTTGTAACCCATCCGTGTCTCAGTGTCTTCAAGAGGCTTGAGAAGATGATAACAGATTTAAACACAGCACAAGTAAATGATCTTCAGATTTTATGCTCTATGTAGCTTAACTTGACTTCTATGATCGCTCTGCTTATATTATATTTTAAAAATTACATTAGTAAAAATAATATTGGCAGCATTCACGAGTGACCAAACCTCAATAGCAAACTGGAACATTGGAGCCCATATGCTGGCGTCTGTTTTATGATCATATGTGCATTAGTACTGGTCAGCTGACTGCAACGTGGGACAGATTCTGCTCTCGCTCGGGTTTATCAGACGACTCGTCCAGAAGCTCTCGCGCAGTGACAGACACACTCTTCATCACGAGCAGAGGTTACACTACAGCGCAGGACTGGTCCAGACACATCGCAACACTTAAAGCATGAATCAGAATGTGCTTCCAGACACCCTGATAAGAAAGCATCTAATTTGAATGTATGAATCTAAAGTTCTTATGTTGAGTCTACAGTTCGAGTTGATAAAAGGCCGGCAGCTTCATGTACCTTCACACAATGGTGAACAGAAGGAATCCAGTGTTTCATGTTGTGTATTTGTGTGCATAATCAACTTCAGCTTCACACTCTTAAAAATAAAGATTCTGTGGTTCCATGGAGAACATTTAACAAAAGATTCTTTATCGTGGAAAAAGGGTCTTTAGATTATTAAAATGTTCTCACTCTCAGAACAAATGGTTGGAATGGTTCCTCTATGGCATTGCTGTGAAAATTTCATATGGGTTGTCCACTCGAATTTATGAAATATAGCTCAACGCTCAAACCAGGTGGAATTAATGCTTTATTATAAATATATAGGTGCAAAACCTGATTATGAATCCATAAAGCAGACCTCTTGATGTGAGTCTAATGGACTCAGACACGTCAGCATGAGCTCCATCTGCTGGACAACTCGACAACTTCAAGTCAGGTCGTTTTTATTTGCATAGCGCTTTAAAAAGCAGCAAATCTTGCATTGATGTCTTAAAACATTCATTAATATTTGTTCACAGTTTAGCTAAATTCTGCCCAGGCTCAATGGCTTTCACATGGAGTGGTTAGAAAGAAGCATATTGTCTGACTTTGATTTGATGTATGCCAGTGGTGACACTCTTTAGTTTTCGTTGTAGTAGAAGGATTTATCCACTTTATCGCAGGTCATCACTGCCATTTCGCTTATGTCAGTAGTTTTTTTTATATTATTAGTCCAAAAATTCCCAATGTACTAACTACAATTAAGGCATCAAACTTCCCACATAGGCTGAGCAGATTCCTGAATAACAACAAATGATCAATGTAACACAACTTTCATCATTTAGGCATGCTTAACAGATCGTGAGAGCCACAGTTGCTTATGCCTAAATACGTGGAAGCATCGTTACATTTGTTTGACGTCACGGTAATGTTCCTTGTTGAAATACATAAAAAAATAATAAAATATCTGGTGGTTTTTTTATTCTCTCTTTTGTTTTTCTTTACATTATTCAATCATGTATTGTTTGTTATTCTACCCTAGCATTAATAATAATAATAATAGAAGTTAAATCAAATAAAAACATAAAATATTACAAATGAAAGTGAACTGAATTATGGAGAAACGGATTGCGTAGACACGCCCACCTGCCCGCGCCTCACAGAAACTCACATCATTCTCTCCGGATTCGCGCGCTTCTGTCTGAGGGGATTCAGCGAGATAACGGTCACAGAAGGACCAGCGCCAACGAAAATGTTAATTTAATCGGAAAACACACTCATGGATTACAAAAGTTTGTGCTTGAAGACTAGTTGAAAGAGTTAGTTGAAAGACTAGTTGATCGGCTCTGCTTCCACGTGACGATGACAAATCAACACAGAAGTTTTGCTCAGAAACGTGAGGTAAATTTGACTTGTTTAAAATTCCGTTTACAAAACGATATCACATGAAAGTGACCTCAGAGAATATGACGTCTTCACAATATTTTTCATTGTCTGAGCGTTTTCTAGAGTTTGTATAAAAGGGTCATAATTCAACTGCAGATTCATTATAGAGTATTTACTGCAGCTGAGGACAGTGTCAGTCCACAGGCCATTACAGCTTTTCATTAAAGTTCCTTATCTAAAAATAAACAATGATGTCTTAATTTATTTGTGATAGGATGAGTTACTGGGTTGTAAACCCACGATAGGTGACACCTTCATGTTTGGTTGTTTAACTTTCAGCCTGCCATTTGTGAGGATCCTTCTTCAGAGAAGAACAGCTCATAAAATAACTATATTATGGCACGTGTTTTTGAGTTCTATTAGATTCTGTGGATGAATCTGGTGCTCCTGGGCTATTTTACGTGGTTGCGAAGGCATTTCTAGGTAGTTTAGAGAAATCATCAAGTTAAAGGCAAGTAAAATATAAATGATACTTAACACAGATTTGAACAGCCTACAGCAGACAAGTGATGATGACTATAAATGTAAGTTTGGTTATCATATTGTCCCTCGATCTAATGATCATTGACATGCCAGGTTTTCAGTCGTCCTTGAGGTATTGTATTTTTAATCTGGAAAAGATTCTTTATATTGTCATGTTCACTGAAGTGCTGTATGTTATAAATTGTTTGAACTGTGGTCATTCTATGTCCGAATAATAGCTTAAAAGCCTAGGCATTAGTAATGGAGTGAATGAACACAGTTTGAGTGTGTGTTATTGCGAAGGGATGCCATGGACATTGGAAAGTTTTGGACTAATAATGTAATTACAAGGGTGATGTTCAACAGCTCTTTTAGTGTACTTGGGAACTTGAAATCTATTGAAAACAGTCTTCAATCATCTGGTTAATAACTTTAACCTCTTAAGTGTCGTGACTCGCACGACATTTTTTTAATAAACATAAAATGCACAATCCGAACTTAAATGGTTGTAATTCAAGAATGCTTTGGAATATGTAAGATTGGTCTTACATCTAACCTGGTGGACTCTAAAACTGCAAGAAAATCAAAGCCAAAACTCTGAACAAGTTGTGTTTCAAATTTTAGGTTGATATCTCTAAGATTTTGTTTGTGCGCTGTACCACACTTTTTCACTAGAGGACAGCCAGACTCCATTACTGCGCATTATTATAAGGGCGCCACCATTTCCATATGTGTTTTGAGTGATCTGAACAATTATTTCCACAATTTTTATACAATTTATGAAGTAGGCATCCTATTCAGAAGTAGTAAGGGAAGTTTGGCATAATTTGATGATATGAATTCAACCTCAATTATCACATAAAAAGAACACGCATGTGCGTTATTGCTCGCTGCCACATCACAAATGGTGAATCTATAATGTTTTTCTTTATATTTAGAACATTTTCAGACCTTCTTTTCTAAAAATAAATAATGGATGCTATCTTTTGAACTATTGGCATGAAAACAAACTGAGGTTTCTACCATTCTTTCATGATTTTCATGTTCATCACTATTTCAAAAGAAAATACTATTTCTTAAGACGCCTTAGGAGTATGAAAATATTCTTGTTGCAAATTGATAGATTACGGCTCAATTTATTTTGAAAAACAATCCAAAAACCAAATATGAAAACTACAGATTGTAAGCTTTCAAATTATATTTAGTTTGTCAATATTAGTGTAGGTTTAGTATAGGATATTACTGTTTTAAATATGTAATGGCTATGGGTCAAACACTTGTGTAATGTTTGTTCAGTAGGGTCCTGCATTCAAATAGAGATGCAGCGATACAATAATTATTTGAGTTATGTTTTATAACGAGGAAATGGCTGATACTACTAAGTGAAATTAGGCATCAGAGTGTAATAATGTACAGAATGAAAGATAGAGAAATATTCTAAAGGACTTAATAGCCTTATTCTCCTGTTTTATTATGATTTGTTTTGTTGCAGACGCTTCTCACCCCCGTACGGTGGAACGCTTGATAGAAACACTACAGCAAGAAGATTTCAGGTTTACCTTTATTGTCACTAAATTGCATGCTGACATCTCACAAGCTGTTCAAATTGTATGATGACTTGCTACGTTGTCCGGATGTGGTCCCTCATTCCTCAGCTTCTTTGCTCTGAAAACAAGAACATAGAGTTATTATTACAGTTAATGCGTGAGTTTCATGCGGAGCTCCTCTGTCCTGCTCCGTCTCTAACTCCTGAACCAGATAATCAAGGTTTGGAAGGATCTCCAGGAGCAGTTTAATACACGCATGACAGTGGCAGAACGAGTTGTTGTATTCACTGAAGCTGCATGGACAGACGCTTTCACACACTTTTTACATGGATGGATGGAAAGGTGAGCTCAAACTTCTGTTTACATCCAAACTGCTCGTAATCTTGAAGATGACTGATGTGACGTGCTTAAAATGTTTAGTTGAATTCAGCTTTATTGTCATTAGACTATGCAGACTATTTATTATAATCGTTTAATTTATTTATCATAAGGGATGTCAAATTAAAGCGCTAGGATCAGGTAATATGACAGGTAAACCTATAGGTAGCGAGTAGGGCTGGGTA